AGCAGGGTGTTGGCTACTAGGTTGGTAGATCGAAGGTGACATCGCAGCACGCGAGAACGCCAGCCAGGGTCTTACCAGCGCTCAATTACCGTCAATCAAAAGTACTTACTTCAACAGAATGGGATATCGTATTGAACCCCTAGAGAGCGACCCCTGCTCGTAACAACACCACCTAAACACAGCCCAGATGAGGGACCTGCTCTACGTTTGGGAAGAACTTGGTTTGGAGCACCTATGCGCCACAGAGGATGACGTCTAATCGCAACTAGGAGCCCAGTAGCGACTATGCAGCTGTAGATATGTGGATTCTGCTCGCCTTATCCACTGAGTAAGGTGCCGTTTTATACTGACATGGCAAAACTATACAAATATTCAAAAACAGCACGAATGGGAAGTTAAAGCGTGGTGTAACAAGGAACCAGGAAGAGGAAAGAAGAAGCCCCTACTGTTTGCGCAGGGGGTATTTATACTGAGCACCAACAAAGAAGTGTTTTGTACAAGACATCCAAAAAAGTTGTTGATGGCTTAATCTTTTCAAGAAGGGTAAGTGACCTATTGGTGAGCCATGAGAAACAGTCATGAGAAAGAAAGTACAGTCTTTCATGGAATACAGATAAAGCAAACTGTAGACAAAAACAACAGAAAAAGTTGCGGGAATAGAATACATGTAAAAAGTGCAAGTGAACTATATAAAAGGGTAAATGGCGTGAACGGCAAGTGAAATGAGTAGTGAGGGTATGTTTATAAAAAAGCGCAGCCTCTTGATGGGCCTACAGATAAAGAGGTCTGCGCACAAAGAGTCTCGCGCATCGATTGAGTGAATTCAACCGACTTGTAAGCTGAGACAAAATTTGGTGAATAACGACGTAAAGTCGTTATACTCCCCAGGCCGATGTGGATGGTCGCGAAGAATTATGACTGCTATCTCCTCTGTGTCGGCTGCGGCTGGGGGTCCTCTGACGACGACTGCAGTGGCCGCGACTGCGACTTCGGCTACGGCTTTGATTCTGCTCTCCGCAACGAAGTTGATCCTCATAGAAGTCCCTTGACCTGTACAGGCTTAACTTTTCCCGTCTCAGCTGCTCGCATCTCCTTTTTGAGCCCTCTGCAGTTGAACGCAGCGCCTCTTCCATAGCCTTGTTGATCTCAGCTATCTTTTTGTCAATTAAGCTGATGTTGTTTCTGAGCTCTTGAATGTGCAGAGATGAAACGGGTGGTCTGCGAGTCACTTCTGTGTCTCTGGTTACACCGCGGGAGCGGTTTTGCTGCTCGACTGCTGACGACTCTCGCCGCGGTGTTTCGTTTATGACTGGTCTCACCTGAGGTCGTGTTTTGCCACGATCAGTGGACGGGGCTGAGGCCTCCGGCTTTCTGGGGCTGGAGCCTGCTGGTAACGACGAGGAGGAGGAGGACGAAGAGCTGGTGAGCAACTTATGCTGAATTGTCTGCATCGCCTCTTTTATTGCCTGCAACGTCTCGTTTTGCTGCTGCTTGGTTGTTTCCAACGCCTCCTCCATTTTGTCCAGTCTCTGGTTTAGCAGAACTTCGACGCGATCTATTCTTTTGTCAAGGTCGCCATAATTGTTAGCCAGCTCCTTGAGTTCCGTCGCCGTAACTGGAATTGGTCGTTGAGACTCGAGAAGCTTTTGAGCATCTTGGAAGGACTGATATTCCTTTCTGATCGTGTTAATCATATCGACCTTTGTTAACGCGCAAGGCGTTTTCAGCTTCAGAAGTCTCTCGATCTTATCAGTCACCTCCTTTTTCCAGTCGTGGAAATGCTCAAGCATCTTCTCGTGCCCGGACTCGTTGACTTCCCGTAGTGTCATGAGAGCTGTTTCTACCGAGTAGGAATCACTGCTTTGTTGAAGCGCAGCACCTTGTAGATACTTCAGCTCCGAGATTATCTCAATCAACTCTTTGACCTTGTCATGTCGTTCAAATTTCCGTTTGCTTATGGAGGGCCTCATTTTCTTCGGAAATGAAGCCAATGATTGATGCGCCCGTTTGGTAGATGTTATGGTACGCCTTTTCAAGGTCTTGCAGCTGTGAGGCATGTGAAGGTGGTTCCGGAGGTGGCATCGGAAATGGTGTTGGGTTAGGAAGCTGCGGTGTTGGCACCGATGAGGGACCTCCAAGGGAATCTGACTGCTTAACCTGAACATGTTTACGCGAGAGGACATTAGAAAGTAGCCAAGTGAAGGGTAGCTTGTAAAGATAAAGAAATGTCAATCCTCTGAAGTCGTTCAAAAAGTCCTCTGCTAGTGCAAAGTCAGAATGAGACGATGGAATGCAATGAACACGGACGTATCAGACAAACGTGGACAGCACTGCTGATATCGAAGATTGAAACACTCACTGCCAATCTATGTATGAAGAGTTGTCGTTGAAGAGCAGCCGATGCACCAGATTTTGTAGCGACTATGCAGCTGTAGAAATGTAGATTCTGCTCGCCTTATCCTCTGAGTAGAGTGCCACGCGGTCCAAGTTCAGAACCACAAATTTGTTGTAGGAATCTTCCACACGAACGTTTAGAAGTTTTATTCTGATATGGCAAAACTATACAAATATTCAAAAACAGCACCAATGGGAAGTTAAAGCGTGGGAGTAACAAGGAACCAGGAAGCCAGAAGCTAGAAGTGAGAAGCAAGAAGAAGCCGCCTACTGTTTGCGCAGGGGGTATTTATACTGAGCACCAACAAAGAAGTGTTTTGTACAAGACACATCCAAAAAAGTTGTTGATGGCTTAATCTTTTCAAAAAGGGTAAGTGACCTATTGGTGAGCCATGAGAAACAGTCATGAGAAAGAAAGTACAGTCTTTCATGGAATACAGATAAAGCAAACTGTAGACAAAAACAACAGAAAAAGTTGCGGGAATAGAATACATGTAAAAAGTGCAAGTGAACTATATAAAAGGGTAAATGGCGTGAACGGCAAGTGAAATGAGTAGTGAGGGTATGTTTATAAAAAAGCGCAGCCTCTTGATGGGCCTACAGATAAAGAGGTCTGCGCACAAAGAGTCTTGCGTGTCGATTGAGTGAATTCAACCGATTTGTTAGCTGAGACAAAATTTGGTGAATAACGACGTAAATTCGTTATAAGCTAAAGGAATCTTCCACGGAAAAAGCTCCGCCCTCATTACCACAGAAAACGATACCTTAAAGGAATCTTCCACGGAAAGAGTGATCATTTTGTCTTGTGTGTAGGATTAGTATTATCGAAACTAACGCTTATGTTCCGTTCTTTTTGCTATGCTCATGAGGCTAGGGGCCTAAGGGTATCGTTTTTCTGTGGTAATGGAGGCGGAGCTTTTTCCGCGGAAGATTCCTTAAGCTCGGTCCGAAAGAGACATGAGATGTGAAGCCGGGTTTGGTAATGGCATTTCGTTCATAAACTTCTATCGAAAAACGATCCCTCAAATTATTTTTTTACGGTTCTTACAAGAGCTCAAATTTGAGCAAGTAATTTTGGCGTAGCCTGTTTTAAATTCAAAAACAGCACTGGATTTCACAGATGTTCTGCTTTCTAATAATTTGTGAAAGTGTACTGCGAGGTTTAAACTGAAATGGCGAGGTGTTTAGGACGTTAATGCTTAAGATGCACATTATTGAGTAACGAATTAGTTCTGGTCCTTTCGGGCAGTTCTTCGCGGGAAGCTCTTGTTGTATCTCAAACTCACATATCCATTCCAGAGAACGGGAACTGAAACCCCTGGCATTGGTCGATTGTGCTTGAGGTCGCCGTGCATTCGATATTCAGTGAAATCGCGGTTCTCATTCACTACCGGACAGGCTATCAGTGCCTTGATCATTGCTGACCCCAGTACTCACGACCTCTCCATCCCGTTCACTGAACTTAAAGGCACGCTCCGCGATTAGGCGGGCTCGCCTGTTCCATCCAGGGGGTAGTAGGCAGGTGGACAAGTGTTGATGTCGCGCCCCTTTTGCGGCTTGAAAGTGCGCGACAAAGGAGCTCGTCCAACCCGCAACTCACACCTTCGTCCGCAAGCCCCACCCTCCGCTGTCGGTTGCCACGTGGCGCTGCTTGAAAAGCGCGGGCGCATTTGAGGCAGCGGTCCCATCGCGATCCAATGTCATTGGCACTGGAGCAAGTAGAGTTAGGTTCGTGAAACTCGTCCAATTCGCCTCTTCTCTATCCCAAGGTGGAATGTGGCTGAAATAGGGGAGGTCTCTGTACGGGGCGTAATCGGTGGTTTCGTTTGCTTTCCTTCTCTTTTACAGACCACCTCCCACCTCTAGCTTCATAACTGAACGCTTTTCCACACCTATTTTATCCCGAATCTTGCCTTTAACACGACACTCCCTCCCCCACTTCGTCCACATTCCTGAATGCACGCTTCACCTTGGGGGAGGAGCATGGGGTGCGATGATCTCGCGCACTATAATTGTCTCATTTCGTCCTCCTTTTCTGGATAGGATATCCGACAAGAGAGGTAAAATAATGCATTGCACAACATGAGCGCAAACACTTATACGTTGCTGCTATAAAATGACGTTCATTGAAGATAGGTCGAAGTATGCTATGTGGGTATGGAATGCAACTTGGGTGTGCGCAGAAAACCTCTCGACCAGTGACAATTGTTACTTCCAGCACAATATGGGCTTAGAGGAAGGCTTGAGCTTTGTGTTGAATTCGCTTTAGCCTCTAATCATTTTTATGCCGACACACCTTTCTAAGACATTTCAGTTTACATAAGAAAATATTTGGTTGCAAAAAAATTCTGCGACATTTTCAAATTTTCATTTTTTCTGAACTTTTTACTTTTTACTTTTTTTTTACTTTTTTACTGACTACTTTTCTTTACTTTTACTTTTTTTTACCGTTTACTCTCTACTTTTTACTTTTTACTTTACTTTTTTACTTTACTTTTTTTACCTTTTTAACTTCTTTACTTTTACTTTCATTTTTTACTACTCATTTTACTTGAGCGCTTTTACTTTTTTCTTTTACTTTTACTTTTACTTTTTTGCTTGACAAATCTCAACTCCTTGCTGAAAACCGAAGCAGATTACCAATGGTAATTCTATGTTCCACTCAAGGTTGGGATAAATTTAGCAGACCGCACCGGGCATAGCGTCCTGCTGCCAGTATGCTGCGTTCACGGGTATTAACGCGATCATTACCGTGAGACCTGACGTCAGTAGAAAAGGTCAACCCCACCTCAGTAAGTTAACTACATAGATTGGTCCCGCTACTCGCAATCATAACCAATTTCGTACATTATGATAATCGTATCAGCTCAGTAGGGGTCAAATTAATGCAATTATGATCATGAAATGTCTAGCTAGACTAAAAACAAACTATTTGCAACAGGGAACATTCGGTGTTATTACTACTCACAAATTCTATTATTATGCAAAATACATTTAATTCTTATTGGATTGGAAGACGGAAGTGGTGTAGTGACAAGTGGCGCGCTTACCACGCGAGCGTATTGGTACCAGACTTGTCTGGGAGGATAAAAACACTGACTTGTACATCGGCTGGCCCCCGCAAGTCATTGTATAGGCCACATCGCATTCAAACGCCACTACGAATGTACAAATGGAAGTAGAATGCGTGCCGCGGGATTGATCAACGGCAAATGCTTTATCCTTTTATCCTTTATTGGATTGGAATCCAATGATAGCGTCCAAATTGGACAAGACCTAATCACTTTAAGAAACATGGGGCTCCACCAAATCAATATAATCTATACCGCATTGCCGCACTACATGAAAGGACCCGATCGCCACTGGGTCGACCCTTAATTGCTAGCACCTCTCACCAACAAGAGAGGTAAAACTCATTCTAACCGGTTCATATATCGAGATGTAGCTAATCTCACTCATCGCTATTTCGTCACCGCTAGCTACGGTATCCCGAAATAGACACCATCAATCACCTCCAGTTTCTCGGGAGCTATCAGAAATCACTTCTCTCTCAAGATATATTGCTCGACTCGGAGCCCAACTTTCTATGTTTCATCATCCAATAGAAATCATTGATCTGGAACGCTTCGTCATCCAATAAATATAATTGATCTGGGAGTGTAACTCGGTGAACCGCCGCCATCCAGTCATGGTGCTTCGCGAGATACCAGAGCAATTAATCTGAACCAGCTCCACCGAGCTGTTAGTTACGTATCCCTTCCTCCGAAGAAACAATCTACCTCAAGTCGAGTCGACTACACATATCGCAACTTGAAGTATAGTATCCCAACGAATATTTCAACTTCCTATGAGGGAAAAAACTCTATTCAAAGCCTAATGGATCTATAGGAAATGAAAACAAATGCATCTGGACCACGTCCTATTACCAGACGCCGATACTCCTCATGCACCAAGTAGCCTAGGTTTCCGGCGGCATGGTAACCCAATCTGACCTTTACTGACACTTAAACTTACGGTGTTTCATCTAAACACAAAAAAGCATACAAAAATTGAAGAGTAGAGCAGTTCAAACCTTGCAAACCTTTTGAAGACGTGCGTCATCTATCAATCTTTCCCCTGATTGTATAAGGATTTGAATATATGAGGTCACTAGACAGGTAATGGCTCGTCAAATTCTTCAATTTTCGAGTTCAGAATCACTTTCTAAACTTTGTGAAACATACAAGCTGTTTCGTTTTGGAAGTCTTGAATAAAATCTTGATTTTAATAACTTCGATTTTTTCTTCTTCCCCAAATCTGCCAAACGATTCGCTGAACGGAGTTACGGAGGTTTTTTGTTCCCTCACACAGTTTAACACAGTGAGGAATCGGCCTCAGCAGCAGCGGCTTGTGAACGAAGCAGTGAGCCTTTATCGGTGCTGGTGGCCTAGTGGTTAAGGTGGTGGGCTTGGGATTTCGGGGTCAGTGGTTCGGATCCGCCGCGTGTTTTTCCTTTTGCATTTTTGTGACTGACTATTTGGCAGTAGTGAAACATGATTCCTTCATCATTGGTCAGCCCTACTTGCTTTTGGATGAG